TTTAAAAGAGGTAGAGGTATAGCCAGGACCATTATCTGTTTTTAATTGTTTTGGAGTGCCCACAGTGGCAAAATTTTGTAAGCAATGAGCTATAATATTTTTAGTTTTTTCTCTGGCATGAAGGGAGCCTATCAAAAATCCAGAAGAAGTATCAACTGTAACATGCAAATATTTTAATTGTTCAAATTCTGGCAAGCGTGTGATGTCCATCTGCCAAATATGGTTAGGTATCAGTCCTCTAGGATTGACTCCAAGATTAATTTGTGGTAAAAAGGTCACACAATTTTGACATTGTTTTATTATTTGTCTAGCTTGTTCCTTATTTATTTTAAAATGCTTTTTAAAAGTATTTGCATTGACATGGAAGGATTTATGAAAATTTGTAGCTTCGTCTAGTGTAAAGAAAATATGTATGTCATGTGTAGTTTTATCTGCTAAATTATTGCCCAAACTAAGGGCTCCAGGGAATCCTGTATGTGCCCTGATATGTCCTATAAAGAATGGATCTTTTCTGTCCCAGATTAGACTTTGTATAGTAGAAAACAGTAGAGGAAGGGGAAATCCTACCAGCATCTTCAAGCGATAATATAGCATGAACTATCAGAAAATAAATTAAATACAGAATCTTTAAACATCACAAAAGCCTGTAATACTGCATTAAGCTCTACCTTTTGAGCTGATTGTTTGGGTACTAAAAATGTAAAAGTTTGATCAGGGGTAACTACTGCTGCTGTACCATTATTTGACCCATCAGTGAATATATTTGGAGCATTCATGATAGGTGGTTTTCTTGTCATTTTTGGAAAAACTACAGGATGCAAAGACCAAAAAGACAACAAAGGATTAGATGGTAAGTGGTTATCAAATGAAACATTAGATTTTCACATGATTATTGCCCAAGTATTTAACTCATTAGCTAACTCATCAATTTGATCCATAGTATATGGAGTAATCATTTTATTGGGAGAAATTCCAAACACTCCCTTTGCTGCTTTTATTCCTTTGAGTATTAAGTGTCCTACAGCTTTAGGATACCTAGTAAGAATAGTATTAGGAGAATAAGATAAATGTATCCATAATAATGGACTTTCTTGCCAAAATAGTCCTGTAGGAATATTTTTTGTTGGTAGTACAATAAATAATAAAGGCAAACTTATATCAATTCTATCCAAATGCATATTTTCCATATATGTTTCAATGATTTTTAATGTCTTACTTGCTTCAGGCATTAACATGCCGGTTTAATTTGTATCTGATGGACTTTTTAGGATATCAAACAAAGGTCCCAATTCTCCTGTTGGTATACCTAGATAAGGTCTTATCCAATTTATGTCTCCTGATAACTTTTGAAAGTCGTTAAGTGATTTGAGTTGATCTACTCGTATTTGAATTTTTGGTGGATGGACCATGGTTGAGGATAATAGAACTCCTATAGTTAATTGGAAAATTTAATTGTACTTTATCTATTGCTATATTTAGATTATAATTTTTAATAAGTTTGTAAGTGTGGCGTAACATTCTAGCAACGTGTTTTTATCTTTGTGTGCTAATAATACATTGTCCATATACAGAAATATTTATAGTTCAGGATTTTGATTTCTAAGTGGCTGAATTTTTTTGTTAACATAAATTTGACACATAGTTAGGCTGTTAGCCATCCCTTGAGGGAGTATTTTCCATTCATATCTCTGATCAAGACCTTCATGATTCAGTGCAGGGATAGTGAATTCAAAACCGAACTATCCTCAGGATGAATTGAAATTGAAAAAAAAAACAATCTTTAATATCTATAGCTAAAACATACCAGGTTTTTGGCAAAGCAGACATTTGAGGAATCCCTGATTGAGCAGGTCCCATAATAACCATCTCATTATTAATGGCTCTTAAATCTTGCAATAATCTCCATTTATCAGATTTCTTTTTAATGACAAAAATGGGAGTATTATGGGGAGATATGGAAGGTTGCATATGTCCCTCTGCTAATTGTTGTTTGACCAGGTCACAGGCTGCTTGTATCTTTTCTTTAGTCAGGGGCCACTGAGGAAACCATACTGGTCTTTCTGATTTCCAAGTAATTTTTATTGTCTCAGTGACCCTTCCTGAAAATCCAATCCATGTGTGTCTGTTCCTTGATCTATTTGTATTGGTGCTGCTATAGCTTGTTCTTGTTCTCCTAATCTTTTTTCCTTTCCTAAAACCTTGTCTAGCCATAATAGTGGATGCATTTGAATTGATGTTATTTGTTAATGTTAGTCCTAATTGATATAGGACAACTCGTCCCCATAAATTTATGGGAAGATGATCTAATACATATGGCTGTATAGTTCCTTCACATCCTTCAGGATCCTTCCAATCTAATAATATCACACTTCTATGGGGATTAGTTGCCACTTGTAGGCCTCAAAGCATTTGAGTGGCTCGTTGTAACGGCCAATGTTTCGGCCATTCTTGACAAGAGATGATGCTAAGGTCTGCACCTTTATCCAGTAGCCAATTAAATTCACGTCCTTGAATATTTAGTTTTAGCATGGGTCGAGAATCTAAATTTAAAGAAAGAATAGTTGAATCTACACCTTTGGAGCCGAATCCCCTGGAACCTCTTTCTATAGTACCACTGGAAAATTTATCATGTAGGCTGGGTATTATTAATAACTGTGCTATTCTATCTCCTGGTGAAATTACTGATATACCCTTTGGAGAACTGGCTATAATTTTTATTTCACCTTCATAATCGGGATCAATTACCCCAGGACTTATCATAAGTCCTTTTAGAGTAGAAGAACTGCGTCCTAACAATAAGCCTACTGTTCCTTGGTCCTTTTACTCCTGTGGGAATGATTTGAACTCCCATCTCAGTTAGTACTGCTCTGGCAGAGGCGCAGATGTCCAACCCTGCGCTCCCTCTGGTTTGTCTGATGAGAGATCTGATGGATAATGTGTCCTGGGCACTACCCTGATGGTGTTGCTGGGTTCCTCCATGGTGTTGCTCGGTTCCTCCATTGCCCCGTATATTTGTGGTCGTGGGCCCCAAAGTATTCCACCCCCCTGTCCATTTTTTGGCAATGGAGCCCAATGCCTTTCTCCATGATATCATGGTTAAACACCTGGTTCTTGTCCATTTTTTGATAATGGAGTACCCTCTATGGTAGTTTGAGATTGGCATTCATTAGCCCAATGTCTCCCTCTACGGCATTGTGGACAAATACCCGGTATTCTACCCCTTTGATACCTAGTTTTGTTAAACCCTCCTCCTCTGGGGCAATTTCTTTTAAAATGTCCTGTTTGTTTACAATTGTGGCATGTTTTTGGCCTGGCATCTAAAGCCTGTTGTACTGCAGCTGCCAAGACTTGCCCTTGTTCATTAATGTCTCTACATAATTTAATATATGTGTTTAAATCTTCATGTTTCCATGGTCTAATGACCTCTCTGCAGCAATGATTTGCTTGGTCATAAGCCAGTTGTTTTATTAATGGAATTGCTTGTTCTGTATTCCCAAAAACTCTGGTAGCTGTTTGAATAAGCATATCTAAAAATTCAGGATAATGTTCATTAGCTCCTTGTATTACTTTAGATAATTGACCTTGTAAATCTCCATATCCTTGTAAAGTCTTCCATGCCCTAACCACATCTGCAGCAATTTGTGAGTATATGGCAGGATCATATGCAATTTGTTGCTGGTGACCCTCATAAGGTCCTAACAACATATCTAGATTTCTCTGAGGATAACCGGCTGCTGCATTTCACCTAGCGGTCTCTGTGCAAAATTCCCGATTGGCAACCTTCCATAAAAAATATTGCCCTCCATTTAGCACAACTTTACACATACTAGCCCAATCTGCTGGCATCATGTCCAAGTTGGTAATGGATTCCACCATGCCTACAGTGAAGGGTCCTTGGGGACCACATGTTGTTACAGCCTCTTTTAACTGCTTCACTGTTTTGAATTCTAAAGCACAGTGAATTTGCTGCTCTCCTGCTTGGTCAAGTACAGGACATGCCAATCTTTGAGGTCCTGTCTAAGGGTCCCATTTATCAACTACAGGGGTTGGAGTCCCCCCAGCATATGTTGTCTCTATAGATGGAGCTGTTGGTTGGACACTTTCGCCCTCTGGTGATAGAAAGATGTTAGTAGCAGCCTCCTGATGTGACTTTTTCCCTGATAGTCCTTCCTCCTTTCAATTTTCTTCCTCTGTCTGACTAGCTCGAGAGACCTTCTCTTTTGCTTGATCTACATGTTTTCTACCATAGTCTGAACCTCTAACAATTTACTTAACACTCTTTCAGTTTGTTTTTTACTAATTTCTAATCTACTATAAAGATAACGCAACCCAATAAGATAACACAAAACAAAACCGTAACAGAATGAAACAAAAACGGAACAAAAATCATTGTATCAATTTTCCTATTTTCTTGAAATGTATTTTCATGGTCTATCTCTATCTCCTCCTCAGGGCCGAACAACTTCAAACCTTGAGCCAACCATTTTCCCCAGTTTGCCTGAGAAAGTTCTAGGGACAGGCAGCTTGAAACAAAAGCGAAACAAAACGAAAGAATCTTAAAATGGCTACCCATTCTCTCGCCCTTCCCTCAGGGGCGAGCAGTTTACCTTATCACTTACCCTAAGTTGTTCCCCTTGCACGCCACCAAATGCTGCAGTCTGGCTGGGCACAATTCAGCAGTCACTTATCAAGCAGGAATGAACTTTATTTTTAGAGCACACACTGCACCACAGGAGCTCTTCAGGAATTCCCTCAGAGCCCAACTGCCACCACAGGCTTCCGGCGAGCCTCTCAACCCCCACTCCTCCCGCTCTTGAGGCTGATTGGCTGGGTCGCATGGGTGGAGCCAAAAGAGTCCCCCAATGAACAGCTCTGTGATCTGAAAGGGCGGGGAAACAGCCCAATGAGCATCACTGCAGAGGAGCCAATCAGCTGCTGCTGGGGCTGCTTCAGCTGCAGCTCTCAGCAGGCAATGTCAATGATGATAATCATGGTGTTAGTGAATGGTGTGGACCATGCTGATGATAGTGATGATAACAGTGAGGACCTCCACAATGTGGGAGATGAGAGAAGGAAGATGGTGGTGGTGATGTTGGTGATGATGACATGGGTGATGTTGACCGTACTGATGATGGGATGAGAACGATTTCCCAATATAAATTAGAAGCAGAGATAAAAGGAATAGCAAGAATTTGGGGGGAGAAAAAAAGAATAGAATGAAACAGAATGGATCTCACAATCTTTGATATTGCCACCAAGAGGACAGTAGACCAGCCAGTGGTGACATTGACTGGCTGGTTAGTGTGTCTCTTCTTCTAGTTCTGGGCTTCTTTGTTCTTTTATTTTTCTGGTGTTGCTTATATTCCCAAGGTGTGCGGCTTTTGAAAGTCCATATGCAAATCCCAAGACCTCTGTGCTGAGCATATTTACATGGTTTTCAGTGCAAACTCTTCATCTGAATTAGGGAATCTCACCTGATGTCTCTAGTAAAAAAAATCCAAGAGAACTTGGAGAAATTAGCTAGTTCCACCATTTCTAATACATGCAGAGTTTTGGGGATAATCTTATCCCTTTAGCGTTGGAATTGCCACTGGGAAGTGGACTTGAGAAATAAGAATCATTGAGCACATTTGCCACAGAGGCTCGATATGGAGCCACACATCTGGGAATAGGTTTGGGTGAAACTCAGAGACTCATCCTGCCTGAACTGAATTTGGCATAATTCATCACTTCCTTCGAAGGGTATTGGGATAGGTATGTTTTTTGCTTCTATTGGATTTATAAATATAATTCTAGAATTTTTCAAATTAGCCATACCTTCAAGCTGGCTCTTAAGGCACAGAAGACAACATTAAAGCCAATGAAGAGTTCTCGCTTCTAAATTACAGGTCGGCCTCTGTCCATGCATAGAAATTGCTAGGGCTGAATTGGATGATTGGGAGAAATGAAGGTTCTACATTTTTGGTATCTGAGTTAGTATTCACAGTGGACTTGGTTTTCATAGCTACTATGTGGCGCAAGATATATATATATATAAAAGACAGAGGGAGAGAGAGAGAGAAATTTTTTTTAATATTTATTTTTTAGTTTTCGGCGGACACAACATCTTTGTTTGTATGTGGTGCTGAGGATCGAACCCTGGCCACACGCATGCCAGGCGAGCGCGCTACCGCTTGAGCCACATCCCCAGCCCCATCGCAAGATATATTGATTAAGCTCCTTCCTCTTCTTTACACCGTGGCGTGAAATACAAGATGGTGTCTTGGTCATTAGGGAACAGATTACCATAGTCAATATGAAGGACCTTGGGTCGCCGTAGAGGTGAACACTGGGTTAAAGGTGTAGCTTGTAGGTAGATGGCTAGCTTGGAAGACAGAGGGTTGATTTCCAAAGACCATAAATAAATTCAAAAATCAATCAATCAGTCAATCATCGTGGATTTTGATCTTATGATAGCTATTGATGAGCTCTAGACCTTCAGATCAAATATCTTCTCTCTGAATGTCTCATCTGAGACCTACGGACAGTTCCATCATCCCCATATACATGGATGATGTGGTAGTAAACTTTCAGGTACATAATAGGAACTTATTAAAAACTTTTCTTATTATTGAAATAAAACTGCAATAATGACCTCATTTTCATTTCCCAACATACTGTGATGGATATGTGGAATCGAAAGACAAATATTTAGCATCATGTGACACAGTATTTTTGGCATGTGAAAGAATTCAAGGATTTGGAGGGTTTTACTTCCACCCATGATGCTGTGAGGCTGGTCCATAGAAGCATTCATGTCAACGGACACTCTTTGGTGACCGCCATGAACAGGAAGTGTCCATTCCTGTCCTTACTCAGGATATTGGAAAGAAAGTTCCCATTTCTCCTACTGCCCTCTCCTTCCACATGGGTGGTGGCCATGTAGGATCGAGATTGTACACCGTCAGAGAAGTTCATCCTGAAGGGGCCAATGATCGAAATAATATAGAAATCCCAATGAACTGCACCATTTGGAGCCGATTATTAACCCAGTGGCAATCTCTTAGAAATAAGTTCAAAATTATTCCCTTTTCCTTGTGCAGACAAATACAAGATGGCGCCCACTGTCTCCTTACCCCAATCTTAGAGGCTCTCTTAAGTTTATGATTTAGTAGAAATATACCCTTCTCCACAGAAATGTTAAAAGTTTGACATTTAACTAGATTCTGCCAAACTGTACAGGACCCAGATGGAATTATGTTTGTATTAATTATACAGGAACATGGACGTAGCTTTTAGGGATGTCACATGGTCATCACCGACAGGCAATTTAGAGTAATTACAAGAATGAACACTCATTCTGATAGAATGAATTTTAAAATGGGGTCGAGAGAATAATGATAAAACCAGGATGTGAGCAGAGGATTTGCTCTAATTTTAACTGAACTCACATGCTCTCAGAATTGGGATGGCTGGTTTGATTCTTACAAAAAAAGAAGTAGGAAATTTTTCAGTAGAGCTCTCTCCTGAGAAGAACAAAATTTTTTCCCCCATGAGTTTTGAAAGTTAACAAATATGTAAATTTCTGTCTCCCTCTCTCTGTAGTCTACTGCAGTCTGTCTGGGCACAAAATAACCGAGCCGCCACAAAGCCTTGTAGGTTCAAACAGCAACTCTTTATTCCTGAACTCTCACCTGCACTGTACACACACTTCCTGGGAACACACTCCCTCCGCAGGCTCTGGGAGAACTCAAGGGGAACTCCAAAGTAGTGGGCTCTAAGGCAGCAGGATCCACCCTAATCCTGGAGCTACCCTAATCCTGGAGCAGAAACACCTTTCAACCTTTCTCTCTAGCAAAATGCCAGGCGTCATTCCAACTAAACTGAGGCTCTCAACATCTCTCCCCTTCTGTTTAATTGAACAACAAGCATGTGGCTTAGGGACCGTGCCTGTCTTAGGTTGTCCAATACTACATATGGTCCTTACCTGTCATCAGATGAGCTGACCTCAAGGCGTCAGCCTCCTGTCTTAGATTGGTACCATTGTTATTGGATCTTACCCTTGTTTGGCTACCGGTCCAGCATACAGCCATACTTGTGGATAGGCCTTTGCATCAGTGTGGGGGGGTCAGGTTCTTTGCCTCACCACTATTGGCCTCCAAATTTGGCCTTGGTACCAGTGTGGGGGGTGAGGTTTTTTGCCTCACCTCTGTTGGCCCTTAAATTTGGCCTTGGTGCCAGTGTGTGTGGGGTGACGTTCTTTGCCTCACCTCTGTTTGTCCCCAAATTTAAGACCATCACAAGCAGAAAGGGAGGAGGATGCAAAATGCCACAGCACCAAGCCAAATGATGGCTCTTTTAGGAAAAATTGTACCACTGATGACACCATCAGCAGAGATACCCCAGCAATACCACATTTTGCTGCACCAACAAATAGTTAACAATGCATGCAAGTGATACATAGTTCAGGCAAGTTCTGCAAGACATTCAAAGCAGAGGAATCCATTAATATGTCCATTTCCTCCCAAAGTAAATCGACTCCTTGATTGAGCATCACTTGTTGAGTTATTATTCATTGATGCATCAGTTTATACAGTTTACTGTGAAGGCTATCGAAAAAGCTGTAGTTTGGTTTATTTGTCTTCACTGGCACTGGGATGAAGATAGAAATTCTGGTAATGATGGCTAAAAAAAATTATGTAACATTCCAGCAGGCACTAAAAAAAAGCAATTTTCTAAAAAAATTATATTATCCTGAACGGAATTATTAAATATAATGAAAAGGAAAGGTAAATGTAAACAAACAGATCTGTTAACCTCCTTTTTTGTTCACATATTAAAACAATCCTCAACAGCTGTTTACCCAATTTAAATTAAACAATTTAAATCACGTGAATAAAAAAAAATTTGGATCCATTTTTTCATGAGTGCTCCTCATATATATGCACTTACGCACATACAGACATACAACACAAAACACTAGTGTGCACACATAACATACAACACATAAGACAATAGTAAAGGTCTTGTAGCTTTACACAGGTGAAATCTCCATTGCAATGTTTAAAAACTCCACTGTCAAAAAAATAGAACTTATCCGAAAATCATTAACCTAGGTCTGTATGAGCTCAAAAAATAAAATAAAACTTCATGATGTGGAAAAAGGCAATAATAAAATAGATATTGAAAAAAGCATTCTGGTTACCACCTGGGTTTGAATCTTTTATTGATATCTCATCCTTCTTCCTGTAACTTGCATATGGGTCTGAAGGTATTCCCACAAGTAAGCCCCAAGGTTTCTTACATTTGAAATAGGCCTTAATGGTGTTCATTATTCATTAGCCTCCAGGTGTGGGAGACTCACTGTCACAGATGTAAGAATAGCCAAACTGGAGTTCTGAATAACAGCTGTTATGGATTTGAGCCAAATCATCTTCTTTTTCGTCTGTAGAAATCACTTTAGTTAATCTATCTGGATTCCAAATCAGCTGCTGTTCTCCCTGTGGAAACACACAAACAAACCCCCGACTCCAGGCAATCACTGGGTCAGGACCTTTCCATTGTCCTGTTAGAATATCCTTCCAAAGTACCTTGGGCTTATGTACATTTTTGGACACATGTGCCTTTCCGCAGCAGTAAGTCCTGATGAATCCAAATTTTAAAAGTTTAGAGTAAAAAGGGTTATTTTAAGTTTATCTTTGGGGGATATATTCACCTTTCCAATTCCCTCTTTTTGCTTTAATAATTACATTTTAATAGTTTGAGGAGCTCTTTCAACTATGCCTTGTCTCTGTGGATTGTATGGGATTCCTGTTATATGAGTAATGCCAAATGATGAGCAAAATTGTTTAAAAGATGTAGAAATATAACCAGGAGCATTACTTGTTTTAACTCTTTTGGAACGCCCACAGTGGCAAATTTTGTAAGCAATGAGCTATAATATTTTTAGTTTTTTCTCTGGCATGAAGGGAGCCTATCAAAAATCTGAAAGAAGTATCAACTCTAACATGCAAATATTTTAATTTTCAAAATTCTGGCAAGTGTGTGATATCCATCTGCCAAATATAGTTAGGTATCAGTCCTCTAGGATTGACTCCAAGATTAACTTGTGGTAGAAAGGTCACACAATTTTGACATTGTTTAATTATTTGTCTAGCTTGT